TTGATTTATAATTCATCCGGACTTTCCTTGCATATACTAATAATTTTCTTAGATACTTACATGTTATGAGTTCATGCACCAATGTATCATTTTATACTTAATTTATCATAATCCAATAAAAGCAGGTTTCCAAAACAAATCCTTAAGACCCATTACAAATATAACATATAAAATAACTCACACTTGAGCCAAGTTTGATGGATATGGCTGAGGCTTTCTTTGTCGTCTGACTACCTATGGCAAATCCAAACTTGGAGATCTTTGTAGGCTTTGCTGGGAGGTCTGCAGTTTCATCTTCAGCTGATCGCTTCTCAGCGCTGCGACTGGAATTTTCCCCTCCATTACTGGAAGAAACAGTCTTAGTTTTCACAGGTTTTTCTGCTTCTTCTTCAGGTCCTGGTGAAGTCGAAACAACTTACCAAGATGAGCTACTTTTACTGAGCAGATTGATGGGAGCAGCAACCTCAAAAAGCATCGTTATAAGGAAGATACCTCTGCAGCTGTCACCTACTGACCCAACAGTCTCTTCCACTGTTTGTTAGAGTATACAGCAGGAACTGAGATTGTGTGGCAGTAGAAGAGGCTCCCATGAATTAACTAGCATAAAATACAGAGCAATTTAAAATTATAAAAATAGAGTTCACAAAAAGACCCTTCAACTAAACACTCTAAGTTGCATAATAATCTAATTACCCGTGGAATTTTGCTTTTCATAAATTAAGAACTATAAACTCTTCTACATGAAATGGCTGTTGGCAATTAGTCACATCATAGAATAATACATTTGACTAATAAAACATCTAGTATTCTTCAATAGTATACTACTAGTTATACAAAGTAACTTTTTATGACCAGCCCATCATGTACACAGTACAGCCCGCAGTAACTTTCTTGAGTGATGTGTTCTTCTGAACATTTCACACAATCTTTAGAAAGGAATTTCAAGGAAGACATCAAGGTCATCCCCTCTTTAGTAACTTAATTCTACTCTCAAAGCTTGATTACCATCTGTTTAGCCTATTCTTAAAGAGTGATCAACAATTATATTTAGGTTCACACATTATTTGTTCATCATAAAAAAAGATGAGCTAAAAATGATAATTTCTAACAGAAGGCACACACATGTAGACATGGAATGCAAGATGTCTTTCAGTAATTTTGCTTGTTTATATTAACAAATGAAATGAGTTAACATCTTGAACGTTACACATGAAGGCTATTTAAGAACAGACTGGGAAGCAAGACAGAAGAAAACTGGCTGATTATTAAATATTTTCTTTCCCAAGTTTATCAATTTACCCTGTACAATGTATTCTGCTGCACCAGATAAATATTTATGGAGAAAGAGAAGATTCTCTAAGGAATGACCCTGACAACAGTTTGGAAAACATGACAAAAAGCAAGAATGGGTGGAAAAGGGGGAATCAAACAGACTGACGAGTAATAAAGGACAAGAGATTATAGATCCCAATTTATATAATTTTGGAAAGATGGGGTAGCTAAATTAATAAGCACTTTGAACAGAACATTTGATTTTGTTTACAGGAAAATAAAAGAAACTCTTTATCACCTTTAGACAAGGGGTGAAAGTTGTAATAACAATGTAGGGGAGAAATTAAACAGTATTAGGTTTTGGGACTTCCTTAGGAAGGAAAGGGCATTGCAATAGCTGTCTGAATTCACTTATTTAGATATAAAATTACAAAAGCACCTGAAGAATGTAAGATTGCTACTCAATATCTGAAATGTAGAATTCAATTTAGAATTTCTTAAAAAGACAGTATTATGCAAACATTATTTTTCATTCTATCGCTAAAATCATTTATGCCAAATTTTATTCTGTATCCTTATAGTTTTAATCAAGTATGAACTTTACAGTAAAACCCAGTGATAACTACTACTTCTCTGTGACTGGCACAGCTAAAACTGAAAACTTACTGGCTCTATGTATTGAAACACATTAAAAAAAAACACCGAATTTACATATAGAAGCAATCTATACACCACTAAAGGCACAAGTTTGTGCAAACACAAACTCTGAAAAACATCAAAACAAATAGCACAAAGAACATTTAGCTTTGATTCTAGTGTAACTCTGCTCTTTGAACTGTGACTCAAGGGCTATCATCAGTCACAATTTCTGGTTCTTTTAAAACCTATCTATTCTGAAATCTAGGAATCCTTTTACCCAAAAAATAGTTCAGGAACAAAGAATCTAGAAAAAGCAAAGCATAAGTATGAGGAAAAGTGAAAAGCATAGTTATTACTATAATATTAAGAACATTAAGTGTGACAACTAACTGAACTAGTATGTGCTAATACATGGAACATAATACTATCTGTCCACTCCTATGATGCCTGGGGAAGATATCTAGAATTACTGCTCTTTAGAAAAAGGTAGCGTGAACAGAGGAGTTGGGAAAACTACAATTAACTAACCAACTGCTGGCAACTCAAATTTTATTCACATCTGTGTTCCTGTCATCTGAACAGGCAAACTATCAAGACCATTAAAGTGTTTTAAAGTCCATTAAGTGTCTTCCCTTAAATACAACACGTACTACTTTAGCAGCTGGGGGGACGGGTAGGGCTTATAATCATGAACTGCTGTTTCCAATTCATTTAATGAGATTTTTCTATTCTGACACTGTCAAAAACAAAATTTTGAATGGCCACAGATTAGTAATGTGAAAAATCTTAGCAATGTGACTTACATTTTAAAGAGTGAAAAAATATGCAGTTTAAAAAAAATAAATCACTTTATAACAAACATGGACAGTTATTATTAGATTCTTTATCAAGGAGTATCTAAATAAGAGATTTTATCTTGTTTGTATTCTGAGCAAATAAAATGTGTAGATTAGTTAATGTGAAATCAAAATACAGTACTAGCATTTTTTTTTTCTCGTCTTTCACTGAATAGTTGAGGAGGAGAGGTGGGCCTTGGGAGTCAAAAAGGTACCTTACTTTGAAAAAATTACCTAGTAAGTTTTAAGTCCATAAGGATACCTTTCATGACCCATTTGCATTCTGGTAGCTTCTTAGTCTGAAAAAGAGTATACATCTACATCTCTAATAGGACTGGTGTGCAGTTTAAATGAGAATATATTCAAGACCCTCTTGACAGAAGAAATGTCAATTTCATTAATGTAGTTATTAGAAACATAAAATAGCTTGAGGTGAATATGATTACAACATGAATAGCTCTAAAATTTCTACTTATTTCAAGGAGCTACAACAATTTAGCCAAAGGGAAGAAAAAAGAGAAAAGCTACCCAAAGCCTAACCCTTAACATTATCCCTCCCCTTAAAGGTGAGAGGAGGAAGTTCAAGTAAGTAGCTTCTCTTATTAATATAAACCTATGTTAACTTCTTAAAAAAATACTTATATTTCCAATTTAATGGATTGTTCAGTAGGAGTTAAAAATCAGAAAAATCCCTAGGTAAGCCCCCCGCAATACAAACTGGCCAAGTGTTAAATAGTTCCTACTTGCCATAAAATTTTATCAATTTAGCAATATCCATGGATGGCATAAATGTTTTAACTATGATTTTTTTGTACAACTTCATTAAAAACATGTCATTCAAAAATGGTTAACATGTAACTGCTATTTCTTAAAAAGGAAGGCACACTCAAGGCAATTATGTATTAAAGAATATCAGCCTAAGTCACTAACAAGGATACAACTTTTGATAGCAATTAGTAAAAAAGGTAATTTTGTATCATTCTTGTCACAAAAATACGCTAACACAGAAACACCAATATTCATACTACAGAATAAATTATCCCTAACGAAAGGGTGGTGGATAAATTACACAGTGGAATTATGCTGACACTTATGGTACATTTTTCTGTTTTGCTTTGGCTACTTCAGTCAGGTGTGGTGTGAAATCTCAGTTCCCTGGGGCAGAGACTGAACCCAGGCCAGGCAGTGAAACCCTGGGAATTCTAACCGCTAAGCCCCCGGGGAATTCCCTCAAGCTACGTTTTGGCTCACATTAAAGAGAGATACTCATCTAAGACAAAAAACCATTCTTAAACGGTAGTCTCTAAGTCAGATAAGGCCTTTTGGGCTACAGATCTTTGTTTTTCCTCAGACTAATTTTTTAAGTGTAATTTTACTTGGTAATTTCCAATTTTGGCCACAAAAAGCCGCTAAAGAGGTAGTACTAAACGGTTTAAACTGTTGTTTCATAAGCTGTTTTACTAGTAAAACAACAAAAAAGAAGGGAGGGGAGTGGAAAGGGTGAAAGGAGTTTGTGCTCAACTAACAGCACCTTATGTATTTTTTAAAAAGGAAATTCTGAGTCCAAAGTAACCGAATATTACACTTTTCTCAATTTCGTTCCCAAGTTAATTCACATCAAACTTGTTAGGAGGTCCTAACAGTTACCTTCATATACTACTAATTTTCTGTATTTTCTCATATTAAATACTTTCAGGGATAAGCCTTGGAGAAGTAGGACAGTGTGGTACTTAAAACGTTCTAAAGACATTATCAGCTCGCACGTGTTAAACTAGCCTTGTTAGGACAAAGGGACGGGGAAGCTAGAGAGATTACATGGTGTTTCTTTTCCTTAATGCACAAGACCCAAATTTAGAGGATTGGAGGTGACAGAATAAAGATAGCTGCAACCTGAATTGACATCGTAACAAATAGGGAAGAGTCACACTAGCCTATTTAGCCACCTAAAGATCTGGCAGGCAGCTGGCTGGCAACAGCCTAGCACATAAAAGGCAGACAGTTCAAAGAAAGGCAATCAAACCCTAATCCTAGACCCCAACGATTAAACCAGGAGACAGGCAAAGGTATTCCTCTTTCCCTCCATCGCCTCAACCCAGCCCTCACAGGATCAGTATTAGGCTTAAAAATGAAGGAATGAAAAAGGCCAGGACAGTCCACTTCCTCAGTGAGAAGGGAGCAGCAAACTAACTCCTAGGTGTAACTGAGAGGCCGGCACCATCGGAAACTCGGCCTGCGGCCAGTTCCTGCGGTCACTGCTCGGTGACTCGGGCTGAGTGAGCGCGCGTGTGCGTTTTGTGTGGTGTGCGTCTCCGGTGTGGCGGTAGCGGCTCGGGCACCGCCACTGCGAGTCCCACCCCGAGTTCGGTCCCCCTTTCTGGTGCCCATCTCCCTTCTCTTCGGAAGCAGGGTCTCTGCTGGGGCCAGGAGGTGACGAACAGTGACGGGCTCTTCCCCGGTAAGGAGGCGATGTGGGCCGGGATCCCAGTGGGCCGCACCGGGCGTGCCCGGGGCTCGTCTGGGCCCAGCACCTGGCCGGGTGAGAGCCAGATCCGCCCACTCTCGCCCCAGTCTACTCCCCCCACCCCGGGAAGCTCAAAGAAAGGCTCAGAGCATCCCACATAGCCCGCGACGCTGGGGTTGTGTTCACCTCCGGCGGCTCCAGCTCGCTGCGGTTTCTCAGGCTTCTCCTCTCCCGCCTTCCCGTCCGCCATTTTCCCCGCCGCGGCCTCCCCTGCAGCCACGCCAAGGACGTCACAGCCCCGCCCAGCAACCATTGAGCTTCAGAGCCAGCCTCGGAAGCGTCAGCCTAGAGCGACCGTAGAGAATGAAGAGAGGCCCTTTCAGAAACGGAAGTGGATATGATATCATCGGCGAGCCGCCAATGAGGCGAGGGCGGGGTAGGATGGGTGGTCCTGTACAGAGCTCGTGGGCGCTTTGCTAGCGGTAGGTTAGATTTTCTTGGTCCGGTGGCGGATTCAAATAAGTGAGACGTGAGAGCGTAGCCCTGGAAACGGTGAGCCTACGTGAGGTTTTTGCCAACTGAGGTGTGGCTGACGCTGAAGCTAGCAGGATTTCTCATCCTGGCTTTGCTGGATCATGTGTACCTATTAAAAAGAAAAGAAAAGAAAACCGAATTCTTTTTCCTACTTAAAAGGGAAATCCACGTTTATCGAGCGCCCCCTTGTGTCATACCCTATATCGTTTAATCACCACTACTGTTTAATAATCCAATGCGAAATTGTTCTCTTAATTAATCTTAATGTGGTAAAGAGTCCGCCTTCAACGCAGGAGATGCGTGTTCGATCCCTGGCTCGGGAAGATCCCCTAAAGTAGTAAGCAGCCCAGTTCAGTGTTTTCGCCTGGAAAAGCCCATGGACAGAGGAGCTTGAGGGCCTACAGTCCATGGGGTCGCAAAGAGATGGACACAAGTGAGCGACTGAGCACACACACAGCCAACAGTTAGCTGTGAGAGTTGAGGCCAAAGAAAAATTTGTCTAAGGTTATGGAGGCAACTGGTAAAACTGATTTTTTTCTGCAAGGGATTTTTTTGTCAAGAAACTTTATTACCTAAAATCGCAGTAGTTTCTGCTTTTCTTAGAAACCTTTAGTTGATTCTCCGGGTTTGCAGAATGAAGTCCAAGCATCACATTGGGTCCCATCCTAACTTTTCAGCTTCATCTTTCCTTTCTGTCTGTATTTATACTGCCCTCTTGCTATTCCTTGCCTATGGAACTGTAGTTACTACTGGGTTTGCTGTCAGTGTTACAGAAATTGGTCTTAAGGAGTCAGAACTTGGGTTTGAATCCCTTTACTGACTGAGTAAACCTTGAGCATTTCTTACTGTCTACAGACCTGTGTTTCCTTTTGTATGAAACAGAGGTAATAATTTGTACATCCTCAGAGGGTAGTCTTGGGGATCACGTGTGATAATACAATCAATATACCTTGCTTTGGTCACTTTGTACTTCCCTCTCTCTCTCTCATATATAAATATTTTTAAAGGTCTTTCTAGCTCAAAATTTGTTTGCCCACAGAGACCATTTAAATTATTTATTTTCTTTACAGCACTTTATACTGCTCATTTCATACGTGAAATGTGCTCTGTATTTGTGAGTGGATGACTTGTCAGGGTCCAAGTCTAGGAAAAGCAGAAAGAATGAAAGTGTGTTCTGTCCCCATGACAGAAACAGGGTGGTTTGCGGATGTGGTGATTTGAAGTCTCTGGTTCACCATCTATGACAGAATATGTAAAAGTGCCCAGCAAAATATTTTACATAGTGTGCTAAGTTGCTTCAGTTGTGTCTGACTGTGCGATCCTGTGGATCATAGCCTCCCAGTCTCCTCTGTCCATGGGATTCTCCGTTCAAGAATACTGGAGTATTTGCCATGACTTTCTCCAGAGGATCTTCCCCACCCAGGGATCTAGCCTGCATCCCTTACATCTCCTGCATTGCAGGCAGATTCTTTACCGCTGAACTACCAGGGAACATGTAATTAATTCGTGTCTGTTTCATTTTTCCTAGATGTGCTCTTCAAAAGTTATGTAATGGATGATACTCTCTTGTTTCGTTTTTGGGCCACACCAAGTGGCCTTTGGGACCTTACCCAACCAGGGATTGAACCCAGGGCCCTCAGCACTGAAAGCATGGCGTCCTAACCACTGGATGGCCGAGGAATTTCTGAGACACTCACTTTAATCATTTTTAAATGGAGACATAAACATGAGATATTCATTTATAGTTACAAATGTATTTACTCATAGATGCTTCTGTCTTTAAATGACAAAAATGAATTTTAGAGGGGTCACATAAAGCTATCCAGTTCCATGTACCACATTGTAGAAGTTAAAGATGGAAGCTACTAACCCATTTGCCTGTCAATTCCTTGAGGTCATATTGTACATACCTTGCTCACCATTGTTTCCCTCGGACCTAGATTACACCAGTATTCAATAAATACCCACTGAAGAAGTGAATACCAACTTGCAGGAATCACCCCAATAAATGGATTAAGGGTTGAAAAGGTAGTTGAGCGCAGGGCAAAGAGCAGCATTGATAGCATCACACAAAACTTAATTTAGATGATAACCCTGCTATTTGCTACTTCTGTGAGTTTGAACTGATAAGGTAATCTTAATACATTTTAACTATAAAAATGTACCAATACTTATAGGTTTACTGAAGAGGAGTAAGTGTGATAATACAGGTAAAGTTTGTAACACATTGCCTGGTTCATGGTGGGTACTTGCTTAATAGTAGTTAATTTTTTGCAGTCTCTAAAAGCTATTCAAATAATGATTTAATAAGCTGAAAATGAAGATTAATATAGACAACAATTACTATAATTTAAATGTGTAATATGTGAGGTGATAGCTATACTATGCAGTATACATTCATGCTTCCTCTATACCAAGCACAATCTGAAATTTTTTAACATGAAATCAAGTGCATTAAATCATCACCATATGAATTGTTAAAGTTACTCTTGCTTTTATGGAAGAGGAAACGGGGACACTGAAAAGTAAGAGATGGAGGTGAACCTGGAATTCAGGCAGAGAAATACAAAATATCAGAGAGGAAACATGGCTAATCTTGGTTTCACTAACCTTGAGTGTGTACATACTATGTCACTTTACTAGTGTCTGACTCCATATGACCCTGTGGACTGCAGCTTGCCAGGCTCCTCTGTCCATGGGATTCTCCAGGCAAGAATACTGGAGTGGGTTGCCTTGCTTTCTTCCAGGGGATCTTCCTGACCCAGGGATTGAACCTGTTTCTAACCTGCATTGGCAGGAGGGTTCTTTCACCACTAGTAGGTTCTTAATCAGGGCTATAGTCCCATATATTTCCCTATACCATTGTCAAGTTCTTATACACTAGATCATCTGAAAGACTTCTTAAAACAGTTACAACTCTAATACCACTGAATTTTTGATTGAGTAGATTCAGTGGATGGGCCCCCCCAAACACACATTTCTAACTAGTTCCCAAATGGTGAGGCTGCTAGTCTGGAGACCACACATTGAGAACCCTGGCCCTAACTCAATCACTTGTTTAGACTATTTCACAGTTTCTCTCTTCTCTCCTCAACTGATGAATTTGATTCTTATTTTCAGTAACAAAATAATAGAAATCAAAATAGAACTTCTGTATGTTCTCATATCTGTGATATGGTATCTAAATTTGTACTTTTATTTTCTGTCTTCTTTTCTGTTACTAGTGCAATAAATCCCATCCTTCTTGCTTATAAAAGGATCCCTCTAATATCTCCCATATCTACAAAATAACCATAACAAAACAAAAAACTCTTGGGATCTCATAACTCCCTCTACCTCCTCATTACTATTCTTCTTCATATAGAAACTCTTTGAAAGGATTGTTTATACTCGTTGTCTCCAACATCTCTTTGGTATTTGCTGTGAAAGTGCTGCACTCAATATGTCAGCAAATTTGGAAAACTCAGCAGTGGCCACAGGACTGGAAAAGGTCAGTTTTCATTCCAATCCCAAAGAAAAGCAATGCCAAAGAATATTCAGACTACCGCACAATTGCACTCATCTCACACGCTAGCAAAGTAATGCTCAAAATTCTCCAAGCCAGGCTTCAACAGTACATGAACTGTGAACTTCCAGATGTTCAAGCTGGTTTTAGAAAAGGCAGAGGAACCAGAGATCAAATTGCCAACATCCGCTGGATCATCGAAAAAGCAAGAGAGTTCCAGAAAAACATCTATTTCTGCTTTATTGACTACACTAACACCTTTGTGTGGATCACAGCAAACTGTGGAAAATTCTTCAAGAGATGGGAATACCAGATGACCTGACCTGCTTCCTGAGAAATCCGTATGCAGGTCAAGAAGCAACAGTGAGAACTGGACATGGAACAATAGATTGGTTCCAAATTGGGAAAGGAGGACATCAAGGCTGTATATTGTCACCTGCTTATTCAACTTATTGCAGAGTACATCATGCAAAATGCTGGGCTGGATGAAGCACAAGCTGGAATCAAGATTGCCGGAAATATTAATAACCTCAGATACACAGATGATGCCACCTTTATGGCAGAAAGCAAAGAAGAATGAAAGAGCCTCTCGATGAAAGTGAAAGAGGAGAATGAAAGAGTTGGCTTAAAACTCAACATTCAGAAAACGAAGATCATGGCATCCAGTCCCATCACTTCATGGCAAATAGATGGGGAAACAATGGAAACAGTGACAGAATTTATTTTCTTGGACTCCAAAATCACTGCAGATGCTAACTGCAGCCATGAAATTGAAAGACACTTGCTCCTTGGAAGAAAAGCTATGACCAATGTATACAGCATATTAAAAAACAGAGACATTACTTTGCCAACAAAGGTCCGTCTAGTCAAAGCTATGGTTTTTCTAGAAGTCATATATGGATGTGAGAGTTGGACTATAAAGAAAGCTGAGCACCGAAGAATTGATGCTTTTCAACTGTGGTGTTGGAGAAGACTCTTGAGAGTCCCTTGAACTGCAAGGAAATCCAGCCAGTCCATTCTAAAGGAAATCAGTCCTGAATATTCATTGGAAGAAGATGCTGAAGCTGAAACTCCAATACTTTGTCCACCTGATGCGAAGACATCAATTTTTGGAAAAGACCCTGATGCTGAGAAAGATTGAAGGCAGGAGGAGAAGGGGACGACAGAGGATGAGATGGTTGGATGGCATCACCGATGTGATGGACATGAGTTTAAGTAAGCTCTAGGAGTTGGTGATGGACAGAGAAGTCTTGTGTGCTGCAGTCCATGGGTCGAAAAGAGTCGGATACAACTGAGCGACTGAACTGACTCTTACCACCCTGATCCAACTCACTGTTATCTTTTGCTTTTGTTTCTGCAATAGTCTCCTAACTGGTCCCTCTCATCTAATCTGGTGTCAATAGAGCATCTAAAGTGATCCTTTTTAAATGAATCGGATTGATTCATTCAACCTGTATCAAGCTGCATCTTCCCTGGGGGCTCAGTCAGTGAAGAGTCTGCCTGCAATGTGGGAGACTTGGGTTCAATCCCTGGCTCAGGAAGATCCCCTGGAAAAGGAAATGACAACCCACTCCAGTATTCTTGTTTGGAGAATTCCATGGACAGAGGAGCCCAGTGGGCTACAGTCCATGGGGTCACAAAGAGTCAGACACAACTGAGTGACTAACACTTCATTTTTTCACTTTATGTGCCAGGCACTGTACCAGGTCCTGGGGATACAGCAGAAAATAAGACAGAAAAGCGAGTTCCCTGCTAGCCTAGTGGTTAGGATTCCAGGCTTTCACCTGCATGACCTGGGTTCAATCCCTGGTCAGCAAAATGAGATCTTTCAAAAAAAAAAGAAAAATGCAACATTGTAAATCAACTATACTTCAATTGTGTACTCAGTCACTCAGTTGTATTGGACTCTTTGTGACTCTATTTGTGTGCTTGTGTGTGTGTTTGTGTGAAGTCAATTGAGTCATGTCCAACTTGGCAACTCTGTGGACCATAGCCTGCCAGGCTCCTAAAGTGCTTCTGGGCACATAGTAGGTACTCAGTAAATACTTGCTAAATGAATGAATGAGGCAGATAAGCTGCTAGACTGGGACAAGGAAGACCACTGCGGTGATATAGAAACAAGGAGGAGGTATTTCAAAGAGGGAAGAGTTCAGTGAGATCTTCATGGTCCATTAATTAGTAAGAGGTGGCTACTGAACCTGTCTGGAAACAATGGAACTGATGTAAGCACAGAACAGATCACAGGTTTATCGAGGTTTATCAAGCTGCACTGTTCAATTTGGCAGCCTCTAAGCACTTAAAGCGTGGTTTGTGCAACTGAAGAACTCATTTAAGTTAAAAAACTGAAGCAGTTAGCTTTTGTTAAACACGACTATTGTTTTGGTAGGACTGCATTTTACTTTTACAATTGAAAATTTAGTATTCATATATTTATTTCTTAAAGTGAAAAGCAGGTTTAATTAGAGAGAGACACATCCCATAGAAAGAATGTGAGCTATCTCAAAAGGCCAGAGGTGGCCCCAGGGGGTAGGGTCACCTAGGAAAGTGAGAGTTGTGGTGGGAGAAACTCACTCCAGAGTATGGGCCATTTCAGAAGGTGAGAGCAGCATGATATTCATATTAAGATGTTCTGTAACCATTAAACTACATACCAGATTTTGAATGTTTAGTTTGAAAAACAATATGAATGTAAAATCACATTAGTTTTCTTTTTCTTTCTTTTTTTTTTTTTTACGGAGTTTTCCATTTTTAATATTTGGTTAAACAAAATACATCATTTGTAAACAAACCCAGCAGAAGGTCAACAAAAAGGAAAAGCAAGAGAAAATCAAAAAGCCTAGGGTTGCCCCTGACTGGGTGTCAGGGTCAGGCCTGCCCACTTCTTTAGGAAGTGGGGCTTTCTGCCCTCGGGCATCAGCATAGGTCCCTGTTCCTAAGCACCAGAATTGGATGTGAACAGAGGAACCAGCCCTGAAATGGTTAAGCGTCTTTGCGTATCCCATTGGCTTTTGGACTCCAAGTGCATGAGGACTCCTTTGAAGTGCCGTCTGTCTGCACAGGCCCAAGCAGACTGGTGGCGAGGAGTTTTCTCCTCCTCCCAGGAAATGGCTTACATCACTGACAGTGCCAGTGGACCCAAGGTCCTGCTTGTGACAGTCAGCAAGGTTGGCTGTAACTTCTGGCTGGTGGTGGTTGGAATGTCATTGTGCAGGGGTGACGAGCTCCCTGTGGTGCCAAGCAGGTCTGGTTAGAAAATGGTGCAGAAGAGAAACAGAAAAAGAGACTCAGATGTATAGAACAGACTTGTGGACTCTGGGAGAAGATGAGGGTGGGATGTTTCAAAAGAACAGCATTGAAACATGTGTATTATCTAGGGTGAAACAGATCACCAGCCCAGGTTGGATACATGAGACAAGTGCTCCGGCCTGGTGCACTGGGAAGACCCAGAGGGATCGGGTGGAGAGGGAGGTGGGAGGGGGGACTGGGATGGGGAATGCATGTAGGTCCATGGCTAATTCATTTCAATGTATGACAAAAACTACTGTAATGATGTAAAGTAATTAGCCTCCAACTAATAAAAATAAATGGGAAAAAAAAATGGTGCAGAAGAGACTGTGGCCACTTGCTGAGAGGGTGAAACGCAGTAGCTGCTTGGTGGCCTCTGTTACTCAGCATTAAAAAAATGGCCTTGTGGGATTGAAGATACATGTGCAGAAAAAGTGCTGGTGTCAACATGCACTCCAGTCAGAGTGGGGAGAAAGCCTCAGCTTCATCCCGTTAAGCTTGCTCAGGCTGGACATGCAAGCCCTAGGCTGGCTCTGTGTTGGAGAGGAGCCTGGCCAGTGGGGCAGCTCTCAGACCTGCCAAGACCATTGATCTGTGAAGGGCTGGACAGGCCACCCCTGCCTGCCCCCCTGCCTTGAGACAACCATGGCCCCTTTGGTGACAGGTGGTGTAGTCTAACACTTATTTCTCCTCCTCTTGTCTTCCAAAGTTACCAGGAGAAAAGTGGCCTACAGCTATTTAAAGAGGTAGGGGTGGGTCAGTTCTCAGTTATCGGTAAAAGAAACTCCAGAGATGACAAACCCAGGTCCTAAGCAGGATGCACGTTTTCTACCCAACGTGAGGGCTCTGCTTCTGGTCACCAGAGTGACTCCAAGCCTAGGGCTTCTAATTCGAGCTGCTCCAAATCTCTGGGGGCTTAGCTTCACAATACTTCCCTTGCCCAACGCTGTCTCAAACTAGTAGAATTTGATGGTGAAGGCAGTCTTATTTTTTTCTGATTTTACCAGGGTGGGTCAGCTGGGAAAACTGCCCTTTGGCCTGTCTTGTGTCCCCAAACCTCCTAAACCAGTGCAGTGAAGTGGCAGGGACAATGCTGGAGTGAGGCAGACAGGCTGTCCGACAGTGCCTGTCCCTAGCCTGGGTTTGGCCACATCCTCAAGTATCTAGCTCACCCTGTCATGTTAGAATACTGCAGGATTCAACCACCTGGCATGGAATATTAGAGAACTTTTCATTATAAAACTTCAAGGATGGCCATAAACCACTCTTAAAAATGGCGTCAGGGTGGCACAGAGGGCTGGAGACAGCACGCTGCGCCGCTGCTGCGGTTCTGGAGATGGTTTCCTGAGAGGTCTTTCTGCTCTGAGGCCTCCCAACCAGTCCCATGGGCTTTGGACTGCGTGTTCAGACTCACTGGTTGCCAGGAAAGGGGAAGGGGAGGCAGCATCTCCAGGTGCGTCAGTTAGAGCAGCAGTGAACTCCAGCATAGCCTCTGTCAAGTCCTCATAGAAGTGGGGAAAGGAAGCTAAGACCCACCTTTCTTTCTCTTTTACATAAAACCAAGGTCTCCACAGCTCGCCCTAAGCACACAGAGCTCCTACTTTCCTTTTCCAGGAGCGAGTAACGCTGGTTGGTTCGTGCAACAGTCCACATGTCTGTCCTATTGCACTGTCAAATTGGAGGGGAAAAAAGACCCGATGAGATGTTTGGGGAAGTGGCAAGGGCAGACCCATGGTAGAGGCCACAGCACATCACGGAGGATTTCAGGGGGCTGAGGTGAGGGGAGGCTGGGCCGGACTCATCACACATCAGCCCTCCAACTCTGGTGGGCCTCCACCTCTTCTGGTACCACCAGCAGGAGTTCACAGTTCTCTCCTCGCAAATGATGTTTTAGAAATTTCCTGAGCTCGCTCTCGCCTCCAATCCATTCGGGCATCTTCTGTTTGGAGTCGAGGTTGTAGTAGGCACCTCCCACCTCTCGAACACAGATCCAGTGCCGCCTTTTGAGCGGCAGCTTCAGGGGACCCCAGCACAGGCTGGAGGGCAGGTTCATGATGAAGCCCATAACGTTTGTGAGAGCAATGGCGCCGACATCCCTGCGCTTGTCCCACCAAACAGCTTCATAGCCTTTGGTCTGAAGTGCTGCCATAATGACGTTCACATCGTAGTTCCCATTTCCCAGCATGCTCTTCTTGTGGGGGGTCACCATGGTGTTTGGAGATAACCTCTGGAAAATCTCTTGCAGCGTTTCCCGGGTGAAGGCATTGCTGTCCTGGAAGACGTTATTGAGGGCGTGCAGAGCACAGAGCTCCCTGCGCTGTTTCTCATGGTAGATTTGTGGGGGTGCTGCCTGGGGCAGCTCCAATGATTCAGATTTGACCTTGTCTCCTTTCCATGGCACGCAACTCATGTTTTTCCTTTTAGGTTCCAGAGAGGGCTAAAAACACCCCACCCTTCCCTCCTGAGGAGGAATGTAAGCTTCTCAGCCTTTTGAGAATTCCTGAGGTCCACCTTACTTTCTGGTGTCCATGATTTATGCTTTGTCACGGGAAGAAGAAAAGGTTGGACTCAAAAGGAAAAATAATCCCCCTCTTCTCAACAGAAAGATAACTTTTGGATTAGTGTATTTCGCCGCCACTGTCAAAGTGCAGAAGTTTTAAAAAACCATGTAAAATCAAAGACCTTGTTTTCCTTCTTCCACCCCCTCCAAGAAAACCCAACGATTTTCTTGCTGTATTTTCTCTCTGCAAATGCCAACCAGGCCTCAAGGCAAGAGGACCGAATGGAATCGGTCACATCGCTCCTTTTCTTCCATTTCTTTGGAACCACGAAGCCACTGGCTCGGGAGACAAGGCCTAAGCGGCGGATAAAACACAAATTTCGAGCAGCTAACGAGGGCCGACCGGCGTGGGTTCGCGGGCCCTGCTGCGGCCTCGGGGGAGGCTCTCCATCCTCTCGGGTGCGGCGGGACCTCGAGGGGCTGAGGTGGACGCAGCTCCTTCGGAAAGCGCGAACTCTCACCCTCTCGACGCGGCCCTGAGCCCGACGTCAGCCACATTAGTTTTCAATAACGAATACAAATTGAAGTAATAATGTAGGCATATGGGTTAAATATATTTAATTTCAGTTTTTATCTTTAACATGGCTACTGGGTCAAGTACATATTTGGATTGTATTGTACCTCTATTGAACAGCAATAGTGTAAAGCAAATGGAAACTGTGTTTTGAATACTGACTTGAAGGATCTGGCTTAGAAATTAAATTGTAATATACTAGGGGTAATAGTAGCAAATAAAGACTTCTTTCTTAATTGTGTAATTATTAAAAGCTGGGAATTTGGTAGCATGTTTGAAGAGCAAGTGGGAACTAGAAACCAGAAATGTTATTACATGAAAACATGTCACTAATTGGTAATAAAGGGAAGACCTTAGGAAACAAGTTACCTTCAAAGAGAAAGAATATTATAGAATAAATTATTGGGTGTTTGAGATAAAGGGAAAAGCTGTTCCTTCCTACTTCACGCCCAGGTAATCAGACCATCTAGTTAGGAGAAACTGAAGCAGTATTTGAGGTTCTGCTAAATTCCAAATTCTAAAATAATCTATAAAACTAAAATCAGTATGAGCTCAAACTGTGGGAGCTTGCCACTGTGATTTAGAAGCAATCTTAGAAGTCAGTTACTGCTTGGCTATTGGGAAGGAAAAAAAATTAAAAGTCCAGTGTTGCATCACTGAAACATCTTAGCATACTGTTACACAGAAGTATGTGTCCTCAAAGGGACACGATAACTTGCATATATTGTATTAGAAACTCTATACATTCTTAATGTATAGTCTGAATTAGTTTATATTTATTTTGCACTTAGGTGCCAGGCACCATATTGAATGTTTTATGTGAGTCAGGAACTATTTCTAATCTTTTATACAGATGAGAAAAATTTTGAGAGACTGATCAATCTAAGCAATGTCAGAACCTGTAAAGTGGAGCTTGTACCAAGAGCAGGGCTGGGGCACTGGATACTCATGGGGTGGTCCAGGAACCCTCTTTGCCTTCCCCCAGTGCCAATCCTGTCAGGTGATGTTGATCGCTTATTTGTGCTATTTTACTTTCTGGCTGGATCTCAAGCAGTTCAAGTATTAGCACCTTGCTACTTAGTAGGGTCTTAAGAGTTGAAATTCACTCATAATGCATTTGTTTCAATTCTAAGTTTATGTGGGACTTTTTCAAAGTCTTTCCAGATGCCATGAATTTAGGTTAGACATCTCGTGTTTTTCCATTGCATTTCATTCTTGCCTTATTATAGAGGCCATAATTTATAGGTTAAAAGCCAAATCAGACCTTCTGAATTGAGATAATACTTAAAGGCAGAACTGTACTGTGCTTTTAGCTGCTTGGTCACATCCTACTCTTTGTGACCCCACCGACTGCATCCCACCAGGCTCCTCTGTCTACGGGGATTCTCCAGGCAAGAATGCTGGAGTGGGTTGCCATGCTCTCCTCCCTCCAGATCTTCCCAACCCAGGTCTCCCGCATTGCAGGCGGATTCTTTACCGACTGAGCCACCAGGGAAGCCCCAAAGGCAGTTATTTTGAGTACATTTTCCTTATCTGTGAAAAACCTTGTCATGGGTAGGGTCTCGTGTGTTGGCTCCTGGCAGAGTTCTGCTTTAAACTAAGTAGAAATTATTTGGCCATTTCTATTTCCATGTTTTCCAACTTTTCAGTGGTGCACATCTACAATGAATGTGGTTCCTAAAGTTCCTTTCAGTATCCCCTTCATAGAAAAAGGAATGGTCACGAGAGCCTCTTCTCAAAGTTCACCACTAAAAAGGAATTAACACAGGCTACAAGTTCACCACTAAAAAGGAATTAACACAGGCTATCTTGAGAAGTCCAAAAATCCTAGAAAAGAATTTTCTGACTGGCCTCTCTTAAAAGTCAGATGTTCATTTCAAAGTGTGAGTGAGGTGTCTTTTTTGGGATAATCAGCTGTGGCCAGGGGAGGAAGGCCTGTAAAAATATGGCAGCTTCCATTCAAACCACCGAACTGAGAAAAAGGAAGTATCTCCTTGAAAAGAAAATACCTTATTACACTACAACAGGGAAGTGCTGTAATGACACTCTTCAAATAAAATCTTTTTTTCCTAAGAGGACAAGAGATGAATTTTATCCCCACAAACACATTTTTCATTATATAGCCCAATCTCATGACATTCCAAGTGAAATCTTAACAAAGCCTCAGTTAAATGATACACCTTAGTGTCTATGACATGCCCACCACTATACTAAATGTTAGTGAATTTTTTCCAAATGTTAAACCACCAAAATAAACCACCACCTGAGGTTTCATCAATTTTTGATGAAAGGTTAGTTGTTGACATGCCTGAAAGAACATTTAAGAAGGAAAATGGAGTCTGAGACTCAAAGTCATAAAAAAGTCACATAAATGGTACAATTCTTTTATTGGGCTCAAACAAACATGGACAACTCTTTTTACTTTCTAAGATTTTGTTTGTTTCTATAGTAAATAAAATGTATTTCTAAAGTTTTACATGTTTGATTAATTGGAGAAATACTTCAGTCAGTTTGGAAAGACAACCTTTAAAAAAAAAGAAGTCAATTTCCTTTAGGATGAAACTAATAGAACTGTATTCCTAATCCACTTTATTTTTAAGCTATCAAATGTTCTCCTTCAAGCTGCTTTTTCTGTGTCTATTTATAGAGCCTCTTGGAAATGAATTAAAAGTCTTTGATTTCTTCATTCTGTTGAGAAACTCTTGAGAATGCTGAGAAATCTCCAGATAACCAGCATGTTTTCTCCTAGGAACAAACTTCAGAGCCTCTTCCCAGCTACCAGTATTTTTCAGACATAACAAAATACGTATCATTTGATCTAAAGTGAGATTTTTGGTACCAGTGTCCCACTGCAGATATTTATCTAATGGAAGGCATTCTGTTGCCAGCTTCAGCCGTTTTGCTTTGGCTAGGGATGTGCCTGGCTGCATATTCTTATCAACAAATGACCCCACTATATAAATTTTGTCATGTTTGAAAGTAGTCATAACATTGGGAGAATCTGCAGTTAAATATATAATACTATCTTTTGGAAACAAATCTACATGAGACTTTTCTGTTGCTGTTAAAAGCAATTTGTTCCATTTTTCTCCATAACGTTTAACTAATTCTTTATAGTAGGCACCGTCTGTTTTAAGATTGCAGAAATAAATATGGAAAGGATCAATATTTCTTCTGTTACAGCCTTCACTTTCTAAAAGTTGGGAAACAGCATTCTGCAATTCTTGTGGTTTCATATAGTCATCATAAGCCATGTCAAAAACCAAAGGCTGTCCAAACTGCATGGCCTGGGCACCTTTCCAGCCCATTGCAATGTCCATATTCCTATCCCAAAGTCGTAGAAATAGAAAGTTTTGCTGTTTATCTTCCTTAATGGTTTCTGGTAGCTGCTCTTTTTTAACTTCTTCTTTTTCTGCTTTTTTCATTTCCTTTTTTATTTGTCTGGCTTTTTTAATTTTTTCCTTAATATATAAGTATTTTAAATATTTTCTTTTTGATGACTTAGAAACACATTCCATAAGAGTTTTGAGCTCTTCTTCACTGAAGTGTTCTGGTACTTCTTTGCCAAGCAACCTCCACATCTCAACTAACTCCCTGGTGGCAGCTAGAGGATCTTCATCCTCGCTACTTGAGACTGTTGAAACATCCTCTTCTTGCACACTAGATTTCATTGTAATTTTCCACCTATCCAACTCCAGCTCTTCAGGAGGTGGTGTACTCTCCTTATTAGGATAGGATGCAGCTGGTATTTTGGAAGACATGTATCTCTGCAGAACTGTTGAATATAAAACCCTTCTCTTCCTATGAAGGGTAAATGGCACTAAAACTCTGGCAAAAGGTCTTAAGAAGGTGATACTGACACTCATTTTGAGAAGAACAGGTATGTAAGGAAAGCCCTATAAAAAAAGAAAAAAGTAATGAAAAGTTAAAGATTGTATAAATTTGAGATATAAAAATATAATTGATTTCTGAAACACAAAGTGGAATCTTAGTCCAACTTATTTGTTGCACCATTAATTTTTCTGGATTCCTGTGGCCTACAGCCTGTGATAATTCATTACGCAAAAAGTGGAAAAAACTCTTTTAGGTTCTTATTTGACATATGAATTTCACTCTTGTTTTAGGCAAAAGGATACCTTGAAGATCCTACTCAGATTTTATCTGAGGACCCGGAAGATTAATGTTACTGAATAACAAAATTATGTACTATATGGCTGAGATAGCACTATATTCTTCTCCATTTTCTACTAAGCCTAGATACAGACCCAAACAAAAGATCCTCAATAAGCAATACGTAAAGACGAAGGGCAGAAACATTACAGAAAATGGCAGCTAGTAAAAAGCATTTAGCAGCCACTGTGCCAATGCCCTCATATGTTTTCAAAAGAGAGATTTAAAAAAATCTTTTTTTAAAATGTTATTTATTTGGCTGTACCAGGTCTTAGTTGCAGCATGAGGGATCTGGTTCCCTGATCAAGGATCACACCTGGGACCCCTGTGTTGGGAGCGCCAAGTCTTAGCCACTGGAGTACCAAGAAGTCCCTAGAGAGATCTTCTGATTTAAAAACAAAATAAAATCTCCCTTCTCCAATATAGACTTTACTCTGCAGCAAATAATGTTATTGCCAAACAAACTATCCAGAATTAGGGTAAGTATATATATATAAGCTCTACAACTTTATCCTATGGGTCTGGAAGTCCACAAAACAATGAAGATGCTTAAAGATGTGAAACTAATGTTTGACTTGAAGCAAAAAAAAAAAAAAAGGAATTCAATTTTTCACAAAATGCAACTAAAATACTTGAAAAATTCCTTCTTCCCTTGGCTTCATTTACTGACACTGCATATTCCTAGGTCTCTGACCTGTGCACTGTTCAGCTCGATCCCCTACCCCCAAACACACACAAAGTGGATATACTTCTGAGTTCTGTCCTTAGTCCTTTTTTCAAACTAAATATTTTCTCTATGAACTCTGGTATACCTCCTTGACTTCGATCACCATGTATGAGATGACACTTCAAATGCAACAAACTGAAATCTGTCTCCCTTTCCTTCCCAATCTGCTTTTCCTTCTGTTGTTTCAGGGAGGGACAATAATATCCATCCATTTGCTGATGCCAGAAACTTGGAGTCATTTCATTACTGTCCCCTCTGACACCTTCCATTCCTAATTTGAATTATAATCATTTACTTTCTAAATACTTCCTGAATCCATTCACTTCTCTTCAACTTCCTTTTCTTAATTGTATCTCCTAGCTTCTAGATTTGCTCTCCCTCATCTCTAAAGAATTTAGAGCTAGTGCAGATCTGATTAATACACTCATCCTCCTCAATGTGTATTTTTAAATTCACTGTTGCCAGGTCAAACTCTCAACTTAATATATGTGGCATACAATAGTTTTTGTTTGTTTTTCACAAAATCACCTTTTGCTTATCTCTTCAGCCACATCTCTAGCTATTTGTCACCTCAAACTTTAGATCAACTATTCCTCCTAATGACTTCCCTCTTAGTTCAGCTGGTAAAGAATCTCTGCAGTTCTGAAGGAGTTCACCTGCAATGCAGGAGACCTGGGTTCCATTCCTGGGTTGGGAAGATAGCCTAGAGAAGGAAATGGCAACCCACTTCAATATTTCTAGCCTGGGAAATCCCATGGACAGAGGAACCTGGCGGGTTACAGTCCATGGGGTCTCAAGAGTCAGGCACGGTTTAGGGACTAAACCACCACCAAGGTAAACCATCAGGACAAGGGCTGTGTTTATATTTTGACACTGAACCCAATGCTTCGCAGTATATAACACATTTATCATTCAAGTATTTTTCGATTAAATACTCCAAGTCAATGCTTCTCTTACTTAAAACACGTTCAGATAGCTTTTAAAGAAGAAAACATTTTACTTTAGACTTCTCGAAATATTTAAGCGAGAGTTCTCTGCCTCAATATGAGAGGTATGTATTTCAGAAAAAGTCTTGAGTTTTGTCTTTGTAACTGATAACTATTTTTAGGCTATCATAGAAATACCCGCCTCCCCCCAATTTAAACGGTAAACAAGAATATCATTCTAGGCAACACCCGTTCGTTTCATGTATTGTACTTGTTGATGTTGTTTAGTTGCTACCTCGTGTCTGATTCATTTAGACCCCATGGACTGTAGTCCACCAGATTCCTCTGTCCATGGGATCTCCCAGGCAAGAACAGTGGAGTGGGTTGACACTTGTCAACCCATGGATCGAACCGGGTCTCCGGCATTGCCAAGCAGATTCTTAGCTGCGCAGCTAATAGGGAAGCCCTCCAGGTATCGCTCTACTTACAGTTTACAAATCACTGGGCTTCCTTTTATCTGTGGGCCTTCCTTGCGCACAGGCTCTAGTACCTGAGGCCTCCCGCTTCCTCCCACCTCACCACACACACGGGGAGACAAGAAAGCCGCCCATACCAGCAATGCGGAGACAATGGCTCCCGCGGGTGCAAACCGCAAGGAAGCCCAGAGCACGCAAGATTCTACCGTGAACTTCTGCCAAAGAACTCGCGCCGTACGTGACCCACAGCTTGCCTATCACTCCACACGCTTTCCGTCGTGGACCAAACACCCGCAGCCGGAAATCCCGCCCTTTCCTCCAGGCGCTGGCATATGACGTCACACCATTAGGGGCGCGTCTTCCGGCCTGGAAAGTAGCTCTGTCGTGCAACTGAGGCTGAAAAACACCCACTGACCTTAGCAGTACAAAGACCATTGGAACCACATTGTGAGATTTGAGGGCTGAAGCCAGGTGAGAGTGGGTAACGGATGAATGGAATATGAGGAAATGAAAGTTGAAACATTTTTATGAAAGTTGGCAGAAGCAGTATTCGGTGAACTCAGCATCCGGTGTGGTGTCCAGGAAGTTTCCCTTATTTTTACTGTTATTGGGAGAGATTTGACCAACTGATCGGATTGTTAACATGGGAATAAGGAAAGAAAGGATTCAGAGGACAGTTGGAGGGGATCGCTCTTGTATAGGAGGAGGAAGTACCACTTCCTTTGTAACAAGAAGGGAGGAAACACGTAGGGATGGAAGGCAGTTTGTAGATATGGCAGTTGTAATTTGAGAGTTCCCATTTCTTTTTTTTTTTTAATTTATTTTTGACTGGAAGATAGTTTCTTCACAATGTTGTGTCTGTTTCTGTCATACAACAATGTGAATCATCCATAAGTATACACAGATCGCCTCCCTCTTGGACCTCCCTCCCCCTGGCCCCACGCCACCCCTCTAGGTCGTCACAGATCCCTGGGTTGAGCTCCCTGTGTTATACACCTGCTTTCCACTAGCTGTGTGTTTTACATATGGTAGTATATATCTCTTAATGCCACGCTTTCAATTTGTCCCACCCTCGACTTCACTCACTGTGTCTGTAAGTCCATTCTCTACATCTTCCTCTATATTCTCGCTGCATGTTAGTCGCTTCAGTCACGTCCGACTCTTTGCGACCCCATGGACTGTAGTCCGCCAAGCTCTTCTGTTCATGGAATTCTCCGGGCAAGAATACTGGAGTGGGTTGCCATTTCCTTCTCCAGGGGATCTTCCCAACCCAGGGATGGAACCTGGGTTTCGTGCATTGCGGGCAGATGCTTTACTGTGAGCCATCAGGGAAGTAAGATTCTCGCTAAGAGTTCCCGTTTCTGAAGGAGGTAGTCTGCTGAGAATCTGTGGAGAGTGAAGAAAGGGAGAAGGTTTGATACTGTCATGAATAATTAATGTGACATACTAAGAGTGGTGGAGAAATTTTTCACATATTTCGGTATAGAGACGTTCTTCTGGCTTATCTATGGTTCTACCTGAACTTTGTGTGAACTAAAACAGCCTGACTTATGACCTGTCGAATGCTTATACAGCACATCTGCTTTAACTATTAAGGTAAAGAATGCCCTCGGTCAAGATAAAGATAAATAGCTCTCTATCTGTGGCATCGTTTAATAGTTTCTTGACGATGATGTTTCTTTCCCACACACCAGGATCCTGCTATCTCACTGAATTCATACTAATCTGTCTCTTTTGAAACATTGAATGATTGCACCCCTCTCATGTTTGATGTGTGTTCTTTGTATTAGTAATAAGGCTTAAAACTGTGTTGAAAACCATGCTTCATTGGAACAGATACTTTGAGCCACTAAGAAGCTGCCTCCTAGGCTATATTCCCCATTTTGGCTCAAGTAAAACTCTTTTCTATTCCTTAGAATAGTTTTAGTATTGATTATTTGTGTCAGCAATAGAAACAGAAAGTAGAGTGGCATTTACAGGTGCTAAGAGGATGGTGCTAAAAATGAAGTGTTCAGTGGTATAAAGTTTCAGTTTTGTAAGGTGAAAAAGTTCTAGAGATCTGTTGCATAACAACACTACCGAACATAAAAATTGTTAATGTGGTAAACTTATTTTTTTCCTAAAATCACATAAAAGTGAAAGTGAAGTTGCTCAGTCATGTCCAACTCTTTGCGACCCCATGGACTGTAGCTTACCAGGCTCCTAAGTCCATGGAATTTTACAAGGCAAGAGTACTGGAGTGGGTTGCCATTTCCTTCTCCAGGGGATCTTCCCCACCCAGGGATCGAACCTGGGTCTCCTGCATCAGCAGGCAGGTGCTTTACCGTCTGAGCCACTAGGGAAGCCCTCACAATAAAAAAAAAAAGAAAAAAATGAAGTGTCAGCTGACTAGGGAACGACAGTCATGTTGTTGGGCACTATTTATGTTTTAATTTGGGTTTCCCTGGTGGCCCAGACAGTCAGGAATCTTCCTACAATGCAGGAGACTTGGGTTTGATCCCTGGTTTGGAAAGATTCCCTGGAGAAGGGAATGGCAACCCACTCCAGTATTCTGGTCTGGAGAATTCCATGAACAGAGGAGCCTGGTGTGCTGCAGTCCATGGGATTGAAAAGAGTCAGGCATGACTGAGCTCCTAACACACACACAGTCTGATTCAGTTTGTTTGTTTTTGTTCAGTCCCTAAGTCAAGTCTAAATCTTTGCAACTGCATGGACTGCAGCATGCCAGGCTTCCCTGTCCTTTGCTATCTCCTGGAGTTTGCTGAGACTCATGTCCATTAAGTCAGTGATGCTATCCAACCATCTCATCCTCTGTTGCCACCTTCTCCTCCTGCCTTTAATGTTTGCCAGGATCAGGGTCTTTTCCAATGAATTGGCTCCTAGCATCATGTGGCTAAAGTATTGGAGCTTCAGTTTCAGCATCTCTCCTTCCAATGAATATTCAGGGTTGGTTTCCTTTAGGATTGATTCATTTGATCTCCTTGCAGTCCAGGGAGCTCTCAAGAGTCTTCTCCAGCACCATAGTTTGAAAGCTCAATTCTGCGGCACTCAGCCCTCTTGATGGTCCAACTCTCACATCCATACATGACTACAGGAAAACCATAGCTTTTACTGTACAGACCTTTGTTGGCAGATTGATGTCTTTGCTTTTCAATACACTGTCTAGGTTTGTCATAGTTTTTCTTCCAAGGAACAAGTTTTTAATTTCATGGCTGCAGTCACCATCCACAGTGATTTTGAAGCCCAAGAGAAGAAAATCTGTCACTGTTTCCACTTTTTCTCCTATTTGCTATGAAGTGATGAGACTACATGCCCTGATCTTTTTTGAAAGTTGAGTTTTAAGCTAGCTTTTTCACTCTCCTCTTTCACCCTTATCAAGAGGGTCTTTAGTTCTTCCTCGATTTCTGTCATTAGAGTGATACCATCTGCATATCTGAACCTATTGATATTTCTCCCAGTAATCTTGCTTCCAGCTTGTGAGTCATCCAGCCTGGCATTTTGCATGATGTACCTTGCATTTAAGTTAAATAAACAGTGTGACAATATATATATTGTCATATTCCTTTCCCAATTTTGAACCAGTTCATTGTTTCATGTCCGGATATAACTGTTGCTTTTTGACCGTATACAGGTTTCTCAGGAGCCAGGTAAGATGGTCTGGTACTCCCACGTCTTTAAGAATTTTCCACAATTTGTTGTGATCCACACAGTCCAAAGCTTTAGCGTAATCAGTGAAGCAGATGTTTTCCTGGAATTCCCTTGCTTTCTCTGTGATCCAGAGAATGTTGCCAATTTGATCTCTGTTTCCCCTCACTTTTCTAAACTCAGCTTGTACACCTGGAAGTTCTTGGTTCATGTACTGCTGAAGCCTAGCTTAAAGGATTTTGAGTATTACTTTGTAGTGATATCACTCTATCTTGTCATGTGATCTCCCCCGCCCCCCTCCATTTTGCCGACAAAGGAGATGAGAAACAGGTTAGTAGGTGGAATTGAGTAGGAGATGAGAAACAGGTTAGTAGATGGAATTGAGTAAGCAAACTGAACAATAGGACACTGAAAAGAGCCAGGTATCATCTACTTTTGTGAATGTTTTGGTGGAGCAATACATATTTGGTAAAGCCAAGATTCAGGCCATGACCACAAGAGTCAGTGGCAGGATTACAGTGGGATGGGTCATGAGAGATGATCTAGAAATCCAAGTCAGGGTATTAGTATGGTACTGTTTTTGATTCAAAACTCAATTTTGTACTCTGTGTTTAGTAGCATTTGAAGTTTCTCTTTTGCTGTGGGCCTGTCTTACAGTTTACTAAAATCAGGGAGGTCTCTGCTTTCTGGGCCAGATATTATTTTGATTTTTAAAAATGAGATGAAAGTTTTAGGATACTTGAGAGTCAGAGGCCAAACAAAAGGGTTTTCCTGTCCTTTCATGCCTTGCAAAGTTCATTGCTATGCAATATCTTGACCACTACTCCTCTCTCAGCCCCAGGGTAGGTAGTGTCTTCTGTTATCTAATTGTTCTAGGATTTGGGAATTGGGATGTATTATTTAGGAAAAGTGAAGATTCTCAGTCACCTCCGACTCTTTGCGACCCCATGGACTGTAGCCTACCAGGCTCCTCAATACATGGAATTCTCTGGGCCAGAATACTGGAGTTGGTAGCCATTCCCTTCTCCAGGGGATCTTCCTGAACCAGGAATTGAACTGGGGTCTCCTGTATTGCAGGTGGATTCTTTTCATCTGAGCTATTTAGGAAATACTGCTAAAAACCGGATTTCCCCCAAGCCACAAATCCTCTCCACAAAGGTAGTAGAGAAAGAAAACACTTAGCTTTGAATAAGCCCTAAACCAGATTGGGGCATCATAGGCAATCTGTGAAGAGATTGTGAAGACAGAAAGGAATCTGACCCCCTTAACTAGCCAAGTAGATACCCCCCATTGCATATATATTTTCAAAATAAACAGTTCTCAAGAGAACCTAATAGCATACTTTGTTATGTGAAGTTCATCCTAACTTTACCATGATAATTGAGGTTACTTTTATTTGTTAATTAGCTTTATCCATTGAGATAAACAAACTTTTAATCTTTTTGACAGGACATGGTTTTGCCAGTTGGAGCAAGGCATCCATCAAAGTTAGGCTCTTGCCCTGGCATGAGAACTATGAGATAGGGGAACTACCTTCCTTGATCTTTGTATTTCAAAAAGATGGCTTTCAGGTTCTAGGGGAAACATTCCTGAGTTGTGAGATTGGCAAGAAGCTTATTTAGCCATTATGAATATTTACATCTATTTGAAAAGAAGAAAGAAATTCTGAAAGTGGGAGGGGAAGAAATCCCTTTGTTTTCAACAAGGAGGATTACATCTCTTATTTTGAATTTCTGTTTGCCCTTAAATTATGTGGAAGACAACTGGAGGTAATGGTCTTGAAAGGTAAGTGAGACACACCACTTCCTTTCCTATGGGGAGAGACAGATGTGTCAGTTGGATCACTGGGACCATAAAACATGGGTTCAGCCAATAAACCTCTTTTGTTGCTCTCTTCAGGGGAGGAACTTTGGTCCAGATGATCATCCATGATAACTTTCACCTCACATGAGGTAGATTTAACTTTTATTACCTCTCTGGTAACTCCTAATCTTTCTAACAGTTGTTCCCAAAGTGTGATCCTTAGACTTACAGCATCAGCATCACCTGGGAACTTGTTAAAAGGCAGATTTTGTGGCCCCACCTAGCAGTCCTACTGAATCAGAAACTCTGGCAGTGACACCTAGCAGTCGTTGTTTTAAGACTTCCAGGTTATTCTGATGTACTTTGAAGACAGAGAACCACTGCCTTTGAAGAAATCTTGAAAAGGAAGTAAGAGAAATTCTTGCCGTCTTCTTTAACAGAGACTTCTCATAGCAAATTGGCAGACAACACGTTCTCTTTTTTTGTTAGAACTATGTTTAGTATTAGGTAAGCCCCTAGTGGCTCAGAGGGTAAAGAGTCTGCCTGCAGTGCAGGAGACCTGAGTTCAGTCCCTGGGTGGGGAAGATCCCCTGGAGAAGGAGATGGCAGCCCACTGCTATGGACAGAGGAACCTAGCAGGCCCCAGTCCGTGTTTAGCATTGGGAGGTGACACACAAATCTCATACTTACAATGATCATAACCTGTTACTTGTAACTGTTGGTATCTTCCACAAAAAGGGTTCAATACATGGAATTCTCTGGGCCAGAATACTGGAGTTGGTAGCCATTCCCTTCTCCAGGGGATCTTCCTGAACCAGGAATTGAACTGGGGTCTCCTGTATTGCAGGTGGATTCTTTTCATCTGAGCTATTTAGGAAATACTGCTAAAAACCGGATTTCCCCCAAGCCACAAATCCTCTCCACAAAGGTAGTAGAGAAAGAAAACACTTAGCTTTGAATAAGCCCTAAACCAGATTGGGGCATCATAGGCAATCTGTGAAGAGATTGTGAAGACAGAAAGGAATCTGACCCCCTTAACTAGCCAAGTAGATACCCCCCATTGCATATATATTTTCAAAATAAACAGTTCTCAAGAGAACCTAATAGCATACTTTGTTATGTGAAGTTCATCCTAACTTTACCATGATAATTGAGGTTACTTTTATTTGTTAATTAGCTTTATCCATTGAGATAAACAAACTTTTAATCTTTTTGACAGGACATGGTTTTGCCAGTTGGAGCAAGGCATCCATCAAAGTTAGGCTCTTGCCCTGGCATGAGAACTATGAGATAGGGGAACTACCTTCCTTGATCTTTGTATTTCAAAAAGATGGCTTTCAGGTTCTAGGGGAAACATTCCTGAGTTGTGAGATTGGCAAGAAGCTTATTTAGCCATTATGAATATTTACATCTATTTGAAAAGAAGAAAGAAATTCTGAAAGTGGGAGGGGAAGAAATCCCTTTGTTTTCAACAAGGAGGATTACATCTCTTATTTTGAATTTCTGTTTGCCCTTAAATTATGTGGAAGACAACTGGAGGTAATGGTCTTGAAAGGTAAGTGAGACACACCACTTCCTTTCCTATGGGGAGAGACAGATGTGTCAGTTGGATCACTGGGACCATAAAACATGGGTTCAGCCAATAAACCTCTTTTGTTGCTCTCTTCAGGGGAGGAACTTTGGTCCAGATGATCATCCATGATAACTTTCACCTCACATGAGGTAGATTTAACTTTTATTACCTCTCTGGTAACTCCTAATCTTTCTAACAGTTGTTCCCAAAGTGTGATCCTTAGACTTACAGCATCAGCATCACCTGGGAACTTGTTAAAAGGCAGATTTTGTGGCCCCACCTAGCAGTCCTACTGAATCAGAAACTCTGGCAGTGACACCT